AGGACAGTGCCACCAGCACCCCTCAGCCCGGCAGCACTGCGGCCAACTCGACCACCACCAGTGCCGCCGCCTCGGCGGTGAACTCGGGAGCGGAAGAAGGCGAGTTGAAGTTCAAGGCTCGCAAGAAGAAGAAGATGACTCGTGCGCAGATAAAGGAGCGCGAGGCGCGTCGTCGTCTGCGTCACCTAGAGTGGCTGCAAAGTCCTAAGGGTACTCCCAAGCCCCCGGACACGGATGATGAGGAGTAGAGTGTGAATGAATGACCGCGATGATTGCTTCATTGGCTAATAGACCTTTTTGTTTGCTTGATGACTGTCCATGAGTATATAGAGCTGTAGACGAGATTCTCAGCATAGAGCATCCATTTCGTTTTGGTTTTCAAGATCCGTATGTAAACAGGTCCAAACGCAGGTTACGTAGCGGCTTGCTGTAAGTTACAGTATCTTACTTTGTCAGTACCATACGCTGAGTTGTCGTCATGCAGCCCCAGTTTGGTCTCCACCGGGCGCGGGTTGCCCGCGGCAGGAACCAATGCCAGAAAGCTTGCGGTGACAATCCCCTGGCCAGAACCTGCGAATTGTCACAAAGTCCACCACTCCCAATCTCCCAGTCCACTTCTCCCTCCTTCATCATCCAATCCCCATACCTCCATCTCCATCCCCCTCTCCCCTAATTCAATGCAATTCTTTGCTCTCCTTTCCCTGACATGTCCTCTCCGTCTTGTGCATCTTCACATTCTTTTGCATCCCTCTGATCCATGATTCTCTATCGAATAAGCACAATTTAAAGACTCCGCCAAACAATGCCACCCAACCCGGGACCCCCTCCTCCCTACCGGGACCACCTCAAACAAGACGCGCCCTCCCGCAAATCGCTCTCCTCCTTCGCCCCGATTCCCGAAGAAGAATCCTCGCCATCCGCCCACATTGACGACCGATTCACCCTCTCCGACCTCTCCGATGACGACTACAACCTCCACAATCACAATACCGGCGGCAGCGGCAGCAGCAGGAGCAGCAGCAGCCAGATCAAACTCCGCCGCATTGACAACCACCACAGCCGCCACAGCTCCACCGCATCCAAACCCGCCTACGCCTACCCCACGAGTAACAACAACAGTGCCCGCCCCTCGGACGTTGAAGCCTACCTCTCCTCCATCACCGCCGCAGAACGCGAACTCCTGACCGCGGCGCATCAGTTCGAACTCTCCGACGACGAGGAGGACAGCGACGACAGCGATGCGCGCTCCGTGGGCTCGGACGTGGGGTTGAGGAAGGGGTCAAAGGGACATCATCGGAGAAGATCGTCGACTTTCAAGAAGCATACGCCGCATATGGGGTGGGGGTGGACGACGACGACCAGATACTATTATCGGAAGGTTTGGTGCCGTGCGCTACTGGTGGTCGTGTTGGTGTTGGGGGCGTTGGTGTGGGTGTTTCTGCGGTTTGCGGCGCGTGGCGGCTGGGATGCGGGGAGGGTGGAGGTGGTGAGTTTTTTTCCCCCTGACTACATGGTTACTTGAGGTGTAAGAGGATGCTGGGCTAATTGTGGTTTTGCTGCGTTTGTGCAGTATATGCCTCCCTCCGAATCATGGTTCCCGACGCCGCAGGGCGGTGCGCTGGAGGATTGGGCGGATGATTATCGGAGGGCGGAATTGTTGGTGCGGAATATGACGCTCATCGAGAAGGTTAACATCACGACGGGCGTTGGATGGCAGATGGGCATGTGTGTGGGGAATACAGGTTCGTCTTGATCGGAATATCCTGGCTTGGTGACTACGTGGAAATTAACTTTACACCGCTATACAGCGCCCGCCGAATTTGTCAAGTTTCCCTCGTTGTGTCTGCAGGACGGACCACTGGGGCTGCGCTATGCCGATTTGATCTCCGCCTTTCCCGCTGGTATCACCACCGGCGCGACCTGGAATCGCGAGTTGATCCGCCAGCGGGGCGTGGCGTTGGGCGAGGAAGCGCGCACCAAAGGTGTCAATGTGCTTCTCGGTCCTTCTATGGGCCCCTTGGGGATGATGCCTGCTGGTGGTCGCAACTGGGAAGCGTTTGGGGCGGACCCGGTTTTGCAGGGTGTGGCGGCCGCGGAGACTATTCGCGGCATTCAGAGCACCGGGGTGATGGCTACGGCCAAGCACTACATCATGAACGAGCAGGAACATTTCCGTCAGCCCTACGAGTGGGGCATCGCAACGGCCCTATCATCCAACATCAACGACCGTGCACTACATGAGGTCTTTCTCTGGCCCTTCGCGGAAGCCATCCGGGCCGATGTCGCCAGTGTCATGTGTTCGTACCAGATGGTGAACAACAGCCATGCATGTGAGAACAGCAAGCTTCTGAACGGGATCCTCAAGGACGAACTGGGTTTCCAGGGCTTCGTGCAGTCCGACTGGCTGGCTCAGCGCTCGGGCATCAATAGCGCTCTAGGCGGGCTCGACATGAGCATGCCCGGCGACGGGCTTCGCTGGGCGGACGGCAAGTCGCTCTGGGGATCGGAGCTGACTCGTGCCGTGCTTAACACTTCTGTCCCGATGGAGCGGTTGAACGATATGGTGACTCGCATCGTAGCTGCTTGGTACCATTTGGGCCAAGACACGTGGGAGCGACCACCGCCGGAAGGCAACGGCGGTCCCAACTTCTCCTCTTGGACCAACGACGAGGTGGGCTGGATCTATCAGGGATCCCCCAGTGACGAAACCTACGGTGTGGTGAATCGCTTTATTAACGCGCAGGGCGAGGGCGACAATGCCCATTGGATCATTGCGCGCAAGGTCGCGACCGAGGGAATTGTGCTCGTAAAGAATGACCGCCAGACCCTCCCGTTGTCCCGCCGCCCCACGACTGAGTCCGGAGCCGTGTTTCGCGTGGGTGTCTACGGTGATGATGCGGGCCCGGCAATGGGTCCCAACGCCTGCGCCGATCGCGGCTGCAACCAAGGAACCTTGGCGATGGGCTGGGGCAGCGGCACGGCCGAGTTTCCGTATCTGGTCAGCCCCTTTGAGGCTCTGCAGTCCGCCTGGGAGACAGAGATCGAACTCAGCCCCTACCTCCGCAACGCGGTGATGCCGGCGGAGGTGGCGGACAAGGATCTCTGCTTGGTGTTCGCCAATGCCGACTCGGGCGAAGGCTTCATCTCCGCGGGGGGCATTCACGGCGACCGCAATAACCTGTTCCTGCAGAAGGGCGGCGACACGCTGATCGAGACGGTCGCTCGAAACTGCGCTGGGCCGACCGTGGTGGTTGTGCATGCGGTGGGTCCGGTCGTGGTGGAATCGTGGATCGATCTGCCAGGGGTTGATGCCGTGCTTTTCGCCCATCTGCCTGGCCAAGAGAGCGGCAATGCGTTGATGGACGTCTTGTTTGGCGTGGTCGATGCCAGTGGGCGGCTGCCATACACGGTCGGCAAGAGTCTGGAAGACTACGGACCCGGGGCGCAGGTCTTGTATGAGCCTAATGCACCCGTGCCGCAGGTAGATTTCCAGGACGGGCTGTATATTGATCATCGGTATTTCGATCGACACAACATCACGCCACGATTCGAGTTCGGGTTTGGATTGTCGTACACGACGTTTGAGCTTGCCGATCTTCATGTCCAGGGGCTGCAGTCCAAATCCCGTCTCCCGGCGTCTCGACCGCCCCAGACCGTCTTCCCCCCCGAGTACGACGCGGAGCCTCCACGCAATGAGTCGGTGTTGTTCCCTGCAGAGTTCCGGGCGGTCCCTCAATTCATCTATCCGTACCTCACGTCGATGGACGGCACTGCGGCGGCCAACTACACGCACTATCCGGAGGGGTACGACGAACCGCAGCCGCTATCGCCCGCCGGCGGTGGATTGGGCGGAAATCCATCGCTCTATGACGAGGTGGTGAATGTCGAGGTTGAGGTGCGCAACACAGGACCGCGGGCCGGTCAGACCGTGGTGCAGGTGTATGTCTCATTCCCTGGAGAAGTGACCGAGGATGGCGACTGGGTGGAGGTGCACGAGGGGGCGCGGCGGTCCAGCAAGGTGAAGCTGGAGCGGATGCCTGAGCCGATTGAGTTTCCGTCGCGCGTGCTGCGGAACTTCACCAAGGTCGCGCTGGAGGCCGGGGAGAGGCAGACGGTGGCGATGACGTTGGCCCGGAAGGACCTGAGTTACTGGAGTGTGCGCGAGCAGAATTGGGTGATGCCGGACGGCGAGTTTGAGATTTGGGTCGGACAGAGCTCACGCGACCTGCCTTTACGAGGGGAATATTGATGATGTTTCTGATGTTCGTGATGAGGTCCGTTGCCCATTGGGGATGGTGCCGAGTACTACTTTGTGATGATTAGTGAGACACACATTAGACCCGAGACAGAAAGGCACCAAGGCACCGGGGGCAATACATTGGAGGGCAAATTCGGCGGAAACCGAGACATTCAGACATTGTACAGTTGCATTGCATGAAGCTAGCATTCGTATATGTAAATAAAAAAAGAATCGCCGATGTTTGGAGATTGCCTGGTTTTTTTTGTTTGTGGTGTCTTAGACTAGTCTTAGTTGACGGTGTTCGTGAATGTTCTGCAGGTATCGATCGAGTTTAGCCGTGGGGCTGAACTGACTGCACCAGAAGCGAAGCAGCGAATGATGTCATCTCTTAAAATAGTACATTTTGTTCAAGGATCCACAGGGTCCAGCGGCAGCTTCGGGTCGGGTAAGACGGTTGCTGATGAATGATAACCTAAACAGAATGTCATTTGGGAGGAATGGGGGGAGGGAATTGGGGCATTGTTCGGACAGTCCCCAACTTCCTTTTCTCACTGCCTAATAATCAATACGAAGGCGAGTGAAACCTGGTCAACCAGTCCCCGATGTTACTGAAGGGGGAATGTCCCCGAGACACACTCCGCTGATCAGCAGATGGAGTGGGGATGTTTCACTCATCGCATCGCTAACCAGCATGGTCGAGTTACTAGAGTTGCTAGTTAGCCACGGGTTGGAGAGTGGCAGTGGAACAAGGGACTGACTGGCATAGCCCTGAGGTATAAAGACCTTCTTTCTTCCCCAGGATATTTTTTAGGATCAGCTACAAACAAACCATCCATCTTTACCAGTTACCTCGCAGCAATCCAACCTCACCACCACCACCACCACAATGAAGCTCCTTGCTCTCCTCTCCGCCGCCGCCGGTGTCTCGGCTCTGCCCCAGGCCCAGCAGGCGCAAGCCAACTACAACTCGTTCTCGGTGATGTCCGCCCGCTCCGGGTCCCCCGTGCACCTGCTGCCCTTGAACGCCGCCTCCGGGGGCTTCTACCTGGGGCTGCAGAACGCCTCCAGCTACTGCCCGGACCAGGTCGCCGAGCTGGGCGCCTGCCCGCCTGGCACTGAGACGGTGTTTGATGCCGGTGCCAATTCTTTGGTATGTCTTTCCTGCATATCCCACTTCTCCTCTCTTAGAAACCAAAACTAACCCTCAATTCAAGGACGTCTCCGTCCCCGGCGGCCAACAAGTCTACATCGCCCCCAGCGGCGCCCTGGCCTTCACCCAGCCCCACTCCGCCTACGTTCCCGCCGGCTCCGTCGTCGGCGCCTTCAGCTACTCCCAGACCGCCGGCACCACCTTCGGGTACTGGACCCTGCCCAACAGCGGCCTGATCGCTTGCCCCGTCCCCGCTGCCGCCGCCGCCTCGTCGTCTGCTGCCCCGTCTGCCACCCCCGCTGCGGGTTCCGCTGCTGCTACCGCCAGCAAGTGGCAGGTCTTCGCTGCCTGGAGCAACGCCACCGTCCCCTCCGGTAACGTCGGTGACTGCCTGGGCTTCGATGCGTTGGCCGTCGGTCGCAATGGTAGTGCGGCTGCTTGGGAGTATATCTAAACGTACTGTACCTTGTACAGACCCTGTCTGCGGAATGGGTTGCGGATTACACCTATGGCTAGGGTGGATGGTTATAATCTTGGGGATTCTGAATGATTGGTAATGGATATATGTACTGTATATGAATGCTGGGGGAGAGGGCTGGTAGTGGCCCGTGTTTATAATGAATCATTCTTCGTTTTTCTTGGAGTGTGAGGGTTTCAGATTGGGATTGTTAGTATGTGTAATTGGTAGTCAACTGGGTTCCCAGGGTTCGTGCTTGGTATTATCTGATTTAGATTAGGTTTGAAAGGGGAATCTCCTCCAGGGAGAGGGATGGGGGGGGGAAACCGCTTATGGCCGGTAAGGAGGTGAGATACGTAATGCAGGGGATGTCAACAACTCTTATGCATTCTTGGGTTTATCGTTAGGTGGTTGTGGGCTGAACCTTCATCTCTGTACGTTTAGTATTTCTAGTCTCAAGTTTTGTATGGGTATGGTTACTTTAGAGATATAAGATCTATACCTAGCATCATATTCGATCATGGAGGTATTAAACAAACGTGTAAATGATATCTGCAGTCGTGTCTCGTGACCCGTGTATCTATCCTCCACCATGCCTCTCCATTCGTCCCGCTCTACCCCGACAAGCACCTCAAACCGTCTCGATATACCGCCTCACCTCCCTGGAATCAAATTAGCACCGCCCACAGCATCAGAAGTGCAAGACCTACCAATCAGTCACCGCCTCCTCCCACAACCGACACTCGTGCTCGCGTGTCCCGCCAAAGTGCTCCACAAACGCATCCCCGAACACCTCGCGCGCCACGCTGCCCTCGCGCATGAACGCGCCCACCGCCTCGCGCAGCGACTTGGCCAGCCGCACGCCCCGGTCACTCGCGCCGCCCATCTCATCCCCCTTCGACAGCGGCGGCACGGGGAGGGCCAGCTTCTGCGCGACGCCGCGCCACCCCAGCGCGACCACGGCCGCCAGCACGAAGTGCGGGTTGGCGTCGGCCCCGGGCACGCGCACCTCCAGCCGCGTCGCCTTGGGGCTCGCCGTCGGCGGCGCGATCACCCGGATCGACGCCGCCCGGTGCTCCAGCCCCCACGACACCGTCACCGGCGCCCAGAAGTTCTCCACCAGCCGCTTGTACGAGTTCACCGTCGGCGCGAACACCGGCATGATGTCCGGCAGCCCGTGCAGGATCCCCGCCAGGAAGTGCCGGCCCAGGTCCGACAGGTGGGCGACGTCCGGGTACGGTGGGGAGGGGTCCGGCGTCGCGCGGTAGAAGGCGTTGGATCCGTCTTCTTGCGACACCAGGGAGATGTGCATGTGGCCGCTGTTGCCGGGGAGGCCTTCGCGTGGCTTGGCCATGAATGTGGGCGTGATGCCGTGCTTCGTGCCGAGGGATTTGACGACGTATCTATGATCGTTAGTCCGGGAGGTGCAGCTGGAAGGCAGGGGAGGGTGGGCACTACTTGAAGAGTCCCGCTTTATCGGCCATTTCTTTGGCTTCGCCGAATTGGAGTGCCTAGTAGCCATTGAATTGTCAGTATAGCGCGGAAGAGAGAGAGAGAGAGAGTGTGTGTGTGTGTGTGTGTGGTTCTGTCCGCTGCGGAACAGTAGAGCTCATACCGCTTCATACACCCCCGGCCCACTCTCGGTATGCCACCCCTCGATCTCGCAGTTGAACTGCTCGCATGCATCGAACACCCCATAGTAATACTCCTGGTTATGCGTCGGCCGCGTCAGACTGTACCCGAACATCCCCTCCGTCAACGACGGCAACGCTTCGACGGGGTTCTCTTTGAGGAAGGTGGCGGTCGCGGAGGCGTTCTGCTTGGGGTCGGGATGACTGCTGGGCGCGCGGAAATGATAGAACTCATACTCCGCTATTCGGCTAGATTAGTTTCGCGCATCACGCAGTCAAATATCAGGTGTCATGGATTGTGTAGACAAACATACCTCCAGCCATCGCGCGATACCCCGCCGCCTCCACCGACCCCAGCGCCGTGCGCAACAGGCCCCGCGGACACGCACACACCGGCTGCTTGGTGTCGGGATCGAGGAAGCTGACCAGGAAGAAGGGGATGTTGTTCTCCCAGGGGATGCGACGGAAACTGTGCAGGTCCGGCACGGCGACCAGATCGCGGTACCCGTTCTCCTTGTTGCTGATCGCCAGCTCCTTGAAGTAGGTGCGGTCGTGCATGTCCCACCCGAAGATCACGGAGCAGAACCCAAACCCGTCGGCGACGATCGAGAGGAACTTCTTCTTGGAGACCAGCTTGCCGCGCAGCATGCCGTCGACGTCCACGCCGGCCAGTTTGACGCGAGTATCATGTTGGAGGATCTGGGCGATGTTGTCGAGGGTGGGGACCTCGGTCTCGGGGGATGACGAGGCCATGTTGGGTTGTGGGTGTAGGTGTAGTCGATGGATTGTCGGCCAGAGGGAAGTTGGAAGATGAAGTTGGAGATAGAGAAGGGGTACTGTGAGATGTGGACAGGAACAAGAGGCAGTGAGAGTGAGTGGGAACGGGAAGACGTCACCGCCAGCCACCCCTTCTTCCCCCCGTCTTCGGCTATCCACTTATCGCCCGTTGGCTTATCGGCCTCGTGCGGCCTGGTGACTGCCAGTTGAGATTGCGGAGATCATGGTGGATGTGCTTGGGACTGGGTCAGCATGGCAGGAACCATCTCTCACAGGCGGATCTCTCATCCTGTTGATTGATGTACCACTGCAATAGCTGGAAGAACCCAGTTTGTGAGTCCTATTGGAATGCAGCTGCACATCATCGCACAGATGGAATGTTGGCTTTGGTGCCGGGGTGCCTGGATGCCTGGGTGCCTGGGTGTCTTATCGTTCATGCTTATCGATAAGCGCAGGAAGCTTTCCCCGATGTTTTCCCTGCTCTTACAATTAACTTCCTCTCTGCTTCTACTATGTCGGCCTTGAACATCACGCCGAGGACATCTTGCATGACATCTTCTCGCTCTTCCCAAGCCGCCTGCTACTATCTAGATGAAGACTAAATCACATCAGCCTCGCACCTCCCTCTGCTACCTATAGATGGTTCGCCTATCCCAAACCCGTCCAATCCGTCCTTCTTTCCTACATAGCTGGTTGCCGAACCAGGACTCGAACACTATATCTATCTGTGTCGTAGACTTGCTCGTCATTTCTACCATATCTTAGCTGTAGTCTTCTTCGCGTCAGCTCTTACGAGATACTATCGACCGCCTAGACTTTATGGACATCGATACCCTGCCAGCTGAAGTCACGGCAGCGAAGATGGCAGTAAACATCTAACCTGAATTTAATATCATGCCAGGGTGTCCGAACTACTGTTAACTTACATTTATACGAGTATTCATAAACATCGACAAGTTGTTCCCTCTGCACATCCGTATGCCCCGGCCAGATGTTTGTAGCTTACGCTACTAACAAATACGCCTAGGTTATGGCAATTGAGCTACGGGATGTTGCCGCTGTCACCCAACCATGGTTCTCCTATGCAGTGACATCAACCATCTAAGAGAATCGAGCATCTCCGGACTCATTGTTCCAATTCACATATTTTCCGAGACACAATCCTTCACCCTCTTCTAGGCGCTGAGTCAGCACCTCCGCCGCTTCCGATCGACATCACGACTCCGATCCTTTCAGGGGACTTCAGGGGTTTGGTTGCAATATCTTAGCTCCAGGCGGCCCCTTTCACTGTTCAAATGGACAATCACTATGCTGAACCACCACCACATCAAGCGCAAGCCTCTGCCGCAAGCTGACGATGATGGCACCATCCGTGGTGTCATCAGGATCTCGCCGTGCCCAACACCAACTCCCTCGGAGAAGCCACCCCTCCTAGATACACCACCACCGCCATACACTCCTATGCGATCACCATCCCCACGGCCACCGCAACCCCCACCATCACAAACCATCCCCACTCGCGCTGCAACCACCATCCATGATCGCGCCCCAGCAACATCCCCCGCACCAAGCCTTCCCCGCACCACCACGGATCTCTCGGTCGCGCAGAAAGCCTACGGTGAAGCGCGTCACTTTCTAGGCGGACTACTCAACCATCCTACGGAAAGTACCAAACATGTCACCATTCTACGCCACTCCTCCGGCGTGGTCTTCTACCGGGGTAGCACCACCTCCGTGACCATCTCCATCTTCTCGGACTCGCCCCTTCCCGCCGACCGCACCCTCTATCTGCAATCCAAGGGATGGACCGGCAAGACGGGAATGCGCACCAAGGCCCTTCTACGGCTCACCGATGACTGGGTTGACGTGACGCCCTCCCATGCCGTCCAGGCGACTCAGGTGGAGCCCGCGGATGAGCGCGCGTGGCAGCGCGACATTGCGAAATTCCGCAAAAAGGCGCCACCTAAAGTTCGCGAAACGCACCATCTGCGAGAGACCATTGTGGCGAGGGTCCCCGCCGAAGCGGGCGATGGCTACTTCCAACTCGTGCTATGTGGGAATGGCAAGAAGAAGGTACTCTGCTACAGTCCGGTCTTCCGAGTCCTGTCCACATCACTGAGTCCCAGCTCGTGCCGGGGCGCCAGTCTCTCCACCATGCCCATGGAGGTCGGTGCAATGGTCCTCGGGATGTACGCTCAGACGGCCGCCGAGGCCGTCATCGCCCCCGTCACCGCCGCGGTCCAGGATCGGATCCAGCCGTACAAACCGAGCTGGAAGACGCAGACGGCCGCTGAGACGGCGTACTCGATGAGCGGGGCTGGCGACCGCGTGAGTGCATTGGTGTCTGCTGGCTTGGGGCCCACCACCACCAGCAATCAGTCAGTGGCGGGAGAATACCAGCCTGTCTCCTTGGATCTTGGTCCACGGCCACCATTCCCCGTGGACTTTACGGCCTCGCGCGTGGCACCCGCAGCAGGTGGGGATGGAACGAAGTACCGGCTGGGCAAAGTTCCCGACGCGATCCAAGATCAATACCACGGGGTGTTCTTCGGCTGGGTACGCGTCTGCCAATCCGTTGCGCAGGCGCCTCAACCCGGGGAAACAACATACTCGTTTCCTCGCGACTCCCAGTGGCAAGGCATGGTCCTCGCCATCCTCTCGTATAACCCCGCCCTGGAAGCACGGGTGAACCTCGCGCGCGCGAGGGGCAAGGAGACCATCATCCGTCTCATCGATGACTCTCCGCCACTCGTACCACAGTCACGTCTCCAGGTACGGATCATGGGCTATCTCCGTCCGGACCTGCCGCCCGCGACCGGTAACACGGAGAGAGAGCTGCAAGCGGCGCGTGATGCGGCGGCCGAGGCGGCCATGATAGCGGATGCGTGTGATGTGGCATATGCACAGGAGGTGTTGGGGCATCCTGCTTGGAGTGCCGAGGGCCATGGTCTGCGTGATGGCAGTGATGGGGGTGGACAGGCTGGGACCTGGGTGCAGAGAACCCGGGATGGGGTCACGAATATCAGGTCCCGGGGGCAGAGGATGGTGGAGAATGTTCCCCTGCATTGGGTTGGGGTGCGGGGGCCGAATGCCGGTGCCGTCGAGAAACAGATGGCGATGAATGGGTTCTATATTATGCGGGGGTAGTTACTTAGGAGACTATACATATGTATACATATCAGCTATTCTGTATATCCACATTTAGTATTATGTTTGATCTTGTAGAAACCCCTCTGACGCAAACAAAATAAAACAACATCAGCCACTATACGCAACAATACAGTATGATTTGATACCAAGGGCAAGACAGCCGATCAAATCAAAAAAACAGACAGCTGACGGCACAACGACGTCGTCTGCCTAGTGCCGACACGGTTGCACAACAATCCCGGAGAAACAGCTTTGCTTTCCATCCACCGCAACATAGATGCCAAGCCAAACCATATATATGACGGACAAAAACAATCGGGCGCAAAAAGACAAGCTCCCGGCGGGTCTCGAACCCGCAGCCTTTAGATTAGAAGTCTAACGCGCTACCATTGCGCCACGGGAGCCGCTTGTTGAATTGAGCATTGGGGGTAGCAATCATATCCTGTGGATGCATTAGAGAAGCAGGTGTTTCGGAAGGGTTCTTCTTGGACGGGTTCTTCTTGGACGTGTAGTGGCTATTGTTGGATGCGGGGATATTGTTCTCTCACTTGGTTGGGTTTCGATATAGTCAATAGATCTTTGGTTATGGTATCTAGGTCTTGTCTATGATCTCTAAGCTGAACATACTGTGTGGAAATCTTTATTAACAGGATTTGAAACAGTGGTCTACTAACACTTTACGTATCGTCGTGCCGAGGCTGGTGTTGCTTAATATATTAAATATCGCTTGGATGAGTAGAATCTCAAGCTTGACCGCGGTCGGACTTTTCCCCATCAGCGACGACAGAGTGTCACATCATTAACAATTAGTTTAAACAGTTGTGACCAGAATACGTGTAGAGAGCATTGAATTCGTTTGCATACAAAAACAGGCACAAAAAGGAGACGCAACAAAAAGGATCCTGTTAGCGGGCCGCAAAAGAACAAAAAAGAAATACTTAGCATGTCCTGGTTTCGATCCAGGGTCCTCCGGGTTATGAGCCCGGCGCTCTTCCCCTGAGCTAACATGCTTGGTGGATATATCTTCGTCCTGGCTGTGGCTCTACATACCAAATTCAAAATGGTCTTGCTATCTAGGTAGGGCCATCCTCCCAAAAGAGAATATCAGCCTCTAATCCAAGCATACAGACGCTCTCCTAATATACTGTGCATTGACCTATTACACTTCCCACATCAGCCATATCCTACTCTTTCAAGGTAGCCAGTATGCCACCACATACCATCCAAATCAACATAATACACACTGCGTAAACAGCGATTGGGTAGCAGCGACACGAGTCAGCCTTGCGAGCCTCGTCAGCCGTCCACTGTATATAGCCCGCGTATTCACCCGGTAAACCAGAGCCGAACATATCCAAGTTGCTACACACCCACAAAACCCCCAACAATAACGAAGATGGATACCTTCCTCCCCGCCACCGCACCCCCGAGCGCAACCGCCCACCGCATCGACTTCACCCAGACCACCCCACCCCTCCCGCCCTACCGCCACCTCTTCGCCGCGATCATCGACAACGTCTTCACCGAAGCCGAATGCACCGAACTCCTCCGCCTCGCCGAAGCCAGCACCCTCACCGCGACCTCCCAGACCCCGCAATGGGAGCGCGCCATGCTCAACGTCGGCGCCGGCGAACAGGTCCTCCGCCCCGATACGCGCAACTGCGGCCGCATCATCCTCGACGCGCCGGAGCTGGCGCAGAAACTGGGCGATCGGATCCTCCCCTTCCTGCGGGATGAGTTCGGGCTCGACGTTCTGGAAAAAGACGCCTGGCGCGTGACGCTGCAGACGCGCCGGCGCTACCAGCTCACGCGGCTCAACGAGCGGCTGCGCTTTCTACGGTACCAGGGCGGCGAGTTCTTCCGCCCGCATTGGGATGGCTGGTATACCACGCCGGATCGCCGGGAGCGGTCGTTTTTCACGGTGCATGTATATTTGAATGGGGAGGGGGAGGGAGACGAGGGTTTGGTGGGGGGAGCGACTTCCTTTGTGAGACGGTTGGAGGTCGAGAGGGAGGAGGATGAGGTGGTCAAGGTGCTTCCTAAGGTTGGGTCGGTGTTGGTGTTTCAGCAGAATGATCTGCTGCATGCCGGGGAGCCGGTGGTGCGCGGGGTCAAGTATACTTTAAGAACGGATGTGATGTATTCGGAGATTTTGGAGGGTGAGGATTGAGGGTTGGGCTGCGGGTGACCAGAGGGATGGTAGATAGTGAGGTGAGGGTGGATACGAGGTTTATGGTTGTATGGGTGATGCACAAGTTAGCTGTTGGCATGTTGTACTGGTGAAGATAAGGGTTGGTGTGTAGCCGGCGATAAGCGACAAATTAACGCTCGATTGTCCAATGCTTCTTTCTGCTTCCCCAACTTCCTCTCGGTAACAACCATGGATTCGTCAGTTCCAGAACCGAGCCAGCCCGTCAGGACCCGACAACCTCAATTAAGGCTCTGATCAAATTGATCGACCAGGAGAATGAGAGACGCGATCCGCGCAGAGTTCGAGAATTGGCCAGGCAGAATGTTGATCGGCGCGATGCTAAGAGTGTGGTGGACATTCTGAGGTAGTGTATTCTAAAAAATTCCTTCTTATGTTTCTGGTGCTTTGCGCAATGAGCGTGGCTTTCCAAGCAGCAATAGCTCAACGGCCGGCATGGCTAGGCTTACGACACTTACGACGAACTCAATCTTTTATTATCATGAAATCATAGGCTTGAAATTGAGGCGAACATGTCACTGATCAGGTACAAGAATGACAGAACGAGAAGAAGCAAGTGAATTAAGAGATAACGGACTTTGCCTGGCTTGATCAGAACAGTCTCATTCGGCCTCTGACCGATCAGTCACTTCTTACCACCAAGCCCCAGCCCCTCTGTTATTTTCCCCAAGCCCAGCCCTTCCAGCAGCTTGTCGACCCCCAAGCCACCCAGCAAGCCCGAGAGGAGATTCCCCAGTCCGAGTCCGTTGAGTAGTTTACCAACTAGACCGAGCACACCACTCAGCAGGAGGCCCACCGCGGCGATGATCTGAACCAGGGGCTCGGACAACAAAGCCCACAGCGGATTGATCTTCTTCTTAGCATGGGGCATGTCGGCGATCAGAGCCTTTCCTTTCTCGATCGTTTCTCCCACCACCCGAGTCAGCTCTTTGAGCACCTCAGCCAAATGGTGCTCCTCGGGGCTAGCTTCTGCCGATGCACTGCGTGCTTTGGCTTGAGCAGCAATCTGACCATCGGGGTCCAAGGCTCGGAGAGCACCTTTGCACTCCTGCAAGATATTGCCGGCATCTTCGATCAACGGCTTGACTTGCTTCACAAGTTGCTCTTCGTCTAGCTCCTCTTTGGGAGTGCTATTGGCTCGCTCGATATGCTATCGAATCAAACCGAATTAGTAAGTCGTAGGCGAGACTAGATAGATAAACTGTGCGAGAGTCCCCACTTACCTGAGTGATCTGTTTGCACAAGGGCTCAATCGTGTCCAGCGTCTGCTGTACAATGGAAGCCATCTTCTTCGCCAGCTCTCTATCCCTTTTTTCACGGGCCTGTTGTTCAAGTTCTTCAGGAGACAGCTCCGGCTCCGGCTCCGGCTCCGGCTCCGGCTCAGGGGGAATGTTCTCCAAGAGAGTGCATTCACCGATCTTGTTGCCATCATTGTCAACCACATAGCCGTTTTCATCGACAGTCCGACCGATCAAGTTGGAGAGTTCGCCTTGGGTCAGCTTGCCGATCACATTGCCATCCTCATCACGGACCTCGCCATCGCGGTTCACTTTCCGACCCGCCATGGGGCTGACATTGCGAGTTGGCTCTTCAGGGGTCCACGGTTCAGCCTGACCGACTGCATTGCCCGACTTATCGAGAATCTCACCGTCTTCATCGACAGCACGTCCACGAAGACGCTGAGGATCACCACTCACTAGGCGCCCGACGGTGTCACCGTTCTCATCGATCACCAACCCATCCTTGCCCACCACCAAGCCTTCGAGGCCGGAGAAGGGTCCCTCAGGCCGGTCTCGTTCTTCAGCTGGGAGCAGCTCTGCCTGGCCGACGACGCGGCCTGCCGAGTCCCACACTCGACCTTCTTCATCCACTGACTTGCCAGCCAGCTTGCGTGGATTCCCGGTCACCAGCCTTCCATACACCACACCGGCATCGTCGACAATGTTGCCTAGCTTATTCACCTTTTTACCGGCTAAGATCGACAGATCCTCTCCTTCTTCCTCTGGCTCCTCGGCCTCCTCGGCCTCGGCCTCTGATGGCTCTTCCCACGGCTCTGCACGGCCCAACGGATTTCCTCGCCGATCCAGAATATCGCCATCCTCGTCGACTGCACGCCCGCGAAGTTTCCGCGCGTCCCCTTCGACCACCTGGCCTACCCGTCGGCCCTCTTCATTCACGACCCACCCGTCCTCGTCCACATGCAGATCACCCAGGTCGGCGAACGGACCAAGCTCCTCTTCCTCGACCGGGAGAGGCCTCGCCTTGCCCACAACCTTCCCGCGCTGGTCCCAGAACTGGCCTTGATCATCAAGCTGATACTTTCCACGGAAGATCTTCTTGGCATCACCCTCGATCAGCTCGCCAACGAGGGCACCTTTGGAATCAACGATGCCTCCAAACTTGGTGCAGGTGAGCCCTTCGAGGGTGGAGATGTCTGGTAGTTTTGGAGCTTCTTCTTCTTCTCCCTCCTCCCCTTCTTCTCCACCCTCCTCCCGTGCTTCTTCTTCTCCCACCCCTTCTTCTCCGACGCCTTCCTCTCCGACTTTTTCTTCACCGACTCCTTCTGCTCCGACTCCTTCCTCTCCGACTCCTTCTTCACCGACTCCTTCTGCTCCGACTCCTTCTTCACCGACTCCTTCTTCTCCCACCCCTTCTTCTTCTTCAACTCCTTCTCCGGCTCCCTCTTCCACTCCCGCTCCCACTTCTTTATCTCCTGTTAGTTCCTCTTCCGCTCCTTCTTGACCCTCCTGGTCCTGCGCAGACCCCGCGACTGCAAGCCCTTCGCCGGCGACTTCTTCTTTTTCGCCTGGCTCTTGCTCCTGTAAAGTCTGGTCCGCTTCGCTTGCTGGGGGCTCTTCCAAAGACTGATCTGCGTCGCTTGCCTGTGCCTCTTCCCCAGGTTGATCGGGCTCGGTTGGAGCAGTGGCGTCCTCCATCTTGATCCCTTCCTGGGCTTCTTCTTGTCCCCCCTCATCTTGAGAATCCCCCTCTTCGGAAGTGGGCATGTCTGGAAGGCTTTCACCCTGCTCAGATGTCCCCGCATCGAGGGTTTCTCCGGACGCTGGTTCTGCCTCCTTCTCCAGGAGTTGAACACGTCCGATTAGATCCCCATCTTCATCCAGAATTTCTCCATTTTTGCCGACAGTCTGGCCGACAAGGTCGTCGGGATCTCCCTCGACCACCTCCCCAATCGGCTGCCCCGCCGAACTCATTATCATGCCCCCTTCCTCGACACTGAGCCCCTCTAGACTCGCTAGGCTGAGCACGCTCCCTTGGACATCTTCCACGCCGGAGCCAGCAGTGTCTTCTTGAGCAGGTACCGTGCCCTTGGCTTGCTGGGCGCCCTCGCCGGGCTTACTTTGGGCTTTTTGCGCCGCATCCGAAGAAGACCGGTGGCCCATCGATCTTACGCCCTGGGTGAAACGGCCCAGCCGATCTGCCGCCGTCTTACCCCGGGCCATCATTGACGAGCGCGGAGACGTCTTGGATCCCCCGGCCTCGGCTCCACCGGAGCCGGACCGCACGCTCTGTCTCTGTTCCTGAGAGCTGTGGGTACTTCCTTCCATCTCGTGAGGACTGATCTCCTCTAGACTGGGCTCCTTCTCCTCTGCTGGAACCGGGCTTTTGCCCGCAGATTGACTGCCCTTGGAGCTCAGTTTTTGAATCTTGCGGTGGGCTTTCCCCGGGGTTCCTTTGGTACCGGGGCGCGTTGCGGCTTTTTTCGCCTCCATGAGTGTTTTGCTTCTGTATGTCTTGTGTATGAGGATTGAAGATGTAATCTCTTGTCGCTATTGCTTCTCAGATTTGTGGATCTTGCTGTTCATACCTTCCCACTATCCCAACGCTGCCCCATGCATTTATAATCGGATATCTTCAACACTGCTATCACAAGACAAACCAAATAGCCATCATTGATACGTCACTTACTCTTATTGACACGATGAATACGAGAACCGAATCTTGTGGACACTACAGAAGCCTTGACATATCCACGGCACTAGTATCGCGATCGCTTACTAGCGCTGCAGGTACCCATGGCACAACTCGCGCGATATACTTCCGGACCATGGAACCTGAGCATAGCAGCGAATAGACCCGATGAACAGTGGTATGATCAGAGCCTTGGGGGGGCAAAAACTTCAAGGTTCTTTGTTCGTTTGTTCTACGTCCGGTTCTCATGATTCATGTCCAGCGGACCATAGATCGTGTACTCTGGGGACTACAGTCCCGCGAAAGTAGTCTGCGTACTCCCTCCACCAGGTGTTCGTCTTCCTCCTATTTAGGACCAGTTACACCTCAATTCTGCCGGCAAAAGCCACCACCGCCAGGTTCTTATACCAACCATCTGCCTCAATAAGCAATGAGGAAGGCGGTGCTGCAGAAAGTGGCGCTTGGAACCAAACAATTTGGTGGGGGGAGTACGCAGACTACTTTCCTCCCACTGTACCTGCAAGGCACGGTGAGTTTTATCTTGATTAGAGAACATGGACGTCATCGACGGTTAGGTCTTGCGTATGCTTGTGATTGATCCTTCTTGATTAGGTTCAATTACTATGTATGTACATACAATCATGTTGTGCAATGCACGAGGGCATGAAGTGCGCCATTGCGCTAGTGAGCTCTGCGCTTGGAGCGTCAGTGTGCTAGGTTCCACCTACAATCGAGATCGCACACACCGCGCGAGAAGGGACCGAGGAAGAATTCCTCGCACCATGCAGAACTTCAATTGATGCTAGACGACCGGAGCTTGTGATTCAATCTGCCAGCCATGCACATTTGGGATTACGCACTATAATCAAGACCTTAAGAGCATTAGCAGTGTGCCCCTTTCCCCGGCGGGTAGTCAGGGTTTCAACCCCCCGAATGCAGCCCCATACAACCTTGCAGGTACGACGAATACTGCCTGAGAAAAGAACTTACAAAAGCGCCAAAGTGATATCCCCATGGATCTTCGCCTTCAGTTCCACCTCAACATCCAGGTTCAAATCCAGCCGCAGCTTCAGGCCGGTATCTTCCTTCTCGGGCTCCGGCTCGAGCCCCCAATCCTGACGGCCTCCTTGCAGCGTCGTCGTGGCTTGTTGTTGTTGTTGTTGTTGTTGTTGCTGCTGCTCCTCGCGCGCGCCGCCGATCGATTCGTCGACTGAGGTTTCGGTATCGGAGGCGGAAGTGATTTGTTCTTGCTGTTGCTGTTGACGTCGCTGTCGCCGGGGCTGTCGCTGCAAGGCGCGGGATGTATCATTGGCTTCTTGGCCCTGGAAGATGTCTTTCTGTTGTTGCTCTTTTGGTCGACGGGGTAACGTGGCGGTTTGGGAGGTCTGACCCTGTGCAGTGGTCTCCTCTGCTGCGCTGGCTGGCTCGTCTGGAGGTGGTGTTGTAGCCATTTTCGTTGCGAAGGAGTGGTACCTTTGGCGTGGAGTGTTCTGGAGCAGCAATAACCGAGTAAATTATTGATCGGATCGGCGCAATATATCGAAATCTTGTTCACCAAACGGGAAGGAATTCATCGTAAGGTGAAAGGAAGGGGGGGCGAAAAAGTATACTCCCAGGGTTGAAAATGCATGACGTCTTGGCCTCCCCCGCGCGCCCCCCCCCCTTTTACATCTGCATCAGCTGATAATCCGCGGCCCTAATGCCGCGAACCGCAACCGCAACCGCAACTGCCCCCATTCTCGTATTCCTCTGTTGTACGAACAATACGGGCTCATGGTCCCACAGAATCAATCGTTTCATTCCAACCTCCTTTATTGGCTTCGCAGATTCCCTCATCGTGACCTCATTTCTGGATCATCCCAGACAGAAACATGGTAGGAATTGTATATCCGTTTAGTGGCGGCGGGGTTTTTTAGTTTATATGGTGCTTCTCGCTTTAGCTTCGGATATACTTGTAGAGTCTGGATTTGAATCTGCTTTGATAGTACTAGGCGAAGAGGGCAACTATGACTGATTCTGCTAAGGATAGTCTAGATGTGAACACCAAGCCTAGTGATACTACATCCGTGAAGCGCAAACCGCCGAAACTAAGACGCAAACCGCCGGCTGCTGAGGAGTCACCTACTGAGAAGAAAGCTGCGCCAGTTGAAGAGCCGTCTGGTGCTGAGAAACTCCCGACTAAGGAGTCAGATTCGGATCAGAAGAAGCCTTCCAAGGAGTCCGGCACTGAGAAACCTGCGGAGGAACCCCGCCGTGGGGAACAACCTACTACCAGCGATTCTATCTCGGACGAATCGCCCTCTCCCGAAAAGCCCGAAGAGTCACCTCCAGTTGAGAACTCCTCACCCGGTCAGGAACCACCGACCGAGGAGCCATCATCCCCCGAAGAACAGCCCCCCTCTCCGGAACCAGCTGCAGACGAGACACCCTCGCCCAACGAAGAACCACCTCCAACAGAAGAGCCCCCGGAACATTCCCACTCACCAACGCCATCAAACCAACCCGACTCCCCCGCAAAACCCGACCCGATGGCCGACGACGCCAAGTCCGCCTCCTCAATGGACGAGCCCAGCGCGCCGGGCTCCCCGCAACCCGAACCCGAACCCCAACCCCAGCGCCAGCGCCAACAACGACGACAACGCCCAGTGGCCACCCCGCCCCGCGACCCCTCAACTGCATCCAGCTACCGCCAACAACGCCGCCGCGGCCAGCGCAATGCCGGAAACCAGGACCTGCTCCCGCTGGGCTCGCTGGGCGACACCGGCAACCTGACGCAGGGCGCGGGCGAGCTCGTCCAGAACACCGCGGGGAAGGCCGTCAGCTCGGTGGGCAACACGGCCGGGAAGGCGGTGGGTGGTTTGCTAGGGGGTGGTGGCCAGCAGCAACAGGTGCAGGGCCAGGGCCAGGAGAAAGGGGGTGGGGGTAAGGAGGAGCAGCTGCGGTTGCGGCTGGATTTGAATCTCGATGTGGAGGTGCAGCTTAAGGCGAAGATTCATGGGGATTTGACATTGCAGCTTTTGTAAGTTTCACTACCCGGGTTGGGTTGAAGGTTGGGTAGAGTCGAGCTAATTATTTGGGTATTTAGGAATTGAGAGGTTGGTCGATGGGTGGTTTACTAGGGCGGGGTTGTTGGGTTTTGTTATGGGTTTTAATGTGTTTTGTGATTGCGGGCGCGATGGGAGTTTATACTCGGTTACATTCCAGAGAGTACGATCTCTTGAAAATGGATGATTAGTGCGAATGTATATGCATACTCTAAGCGCGGCTCGTTTTGCCTTTCCTTTCATGTGTGCTAGTATACATCCATCCACATATCCCACCTCTCTCGAGGAGTGGTACTACGTATACGTATCCCCGTCTCGAGCATCTACCCCTTCCCAGAAGATAGCGTAAGCCCTTCCATAGGTATCTGCTCCTCAGTAGTCTCCTTGCTCGCCGCCTCTGCATCCTCGCCTGATTCTCGATCAGAATACGAGTCATACCCCTCCCCCTCCCTAGACCCCTCCTCAGTCCCAGAGTCAAAGTCAGAAACATCCCCCTCGCCCCCAGATACCCCCTCCACCCCCTCCACCCCCCCTGCCAACACCGCCGCAGCCGCCTCCCCACCGACAGCCGGCACCCGCTCGACCCGCGGCCACCCCGCCGGAACCACACTCGGATCCAGCAAACCCACCTGCACCAACACACTGGCCTGATCCCAGTAGACATGCTCGGAGTACAGCCGGCCGTCGCCGCTGCACAGCCGCGCTATGCTAACGACCACAATCTTGACCTCGCGGTGGGTGGGCGGCACGCCCGGCAGGATCCAGTCCATGGGCTGGGAGTGCAGGAAGGTCAGAAGGACCTCGTCGATGACGCGGTCGGCGCCGACGGTGCGGGAGAGCAGCTGCAGGCGCATGGAGGCGGGGCGGTGGGTGTGGAAGTTGGCAGCCCAGAAGTCCTGCAGTGGGGTGTGGCCGGTGGCGCCTTGCAGGGTTGGGGTGTATAGGGCTGCTGGGGGTGGGGCGGTGGTGTGGGCTTCGTTCTCGGAATCCGGGGGAGGAGGGAGGAGGGCTGTTGCGTTGGGGGAGAAGTATCGTGCTTAACGAGGGGAAATGTGTTAGCCAGGATAGGAGTCTGATGGTTGCTGAGTATGGTATGGTGGGTGATTCCAGTGTAGGTGAGGTTTGGGTGGGTGCCCGACCTACCCTCCTGCATCTCATCCCACACCCTCTCCAGATCCACCGCGGCGACCCGCCGAAACCCCCGCTGCAGCGCCCCCAGCGTGCGACTCCACGCCACCTGCGCCGGGATCCGGCTGTATTCCTCGAGATCGTGCTCCGCGAACCCCGGCAGCGCGCCCACGTACGAGAAGGCCGGGTACCCCAGCGCCAGCCGGTCGCCGATCCCCACCCCCGGCCCTACCTGCTTCCGCACCACGGTGGCCTTGTGGCTCGTCTTCGAGGGCGGGTGGTGGACGTTGACGGTCTGGTTGGCCAGGTGGACGAGTACCTGCATCGAGGCTGGGTATTGGCTCGCCGGGCCGGGGATCGCGGTCGGGTAGTAGGCGATCAGCGCGCAGAGCTTGTTGGTGTTGGGGAGCTTGAGGTAGTGCGTGAGGCAGAAGGAGGCTGCGTCGCCGAAGCCTATGTCCCGGGAGTTTAGTTGTTGTTGTGGAGAAGGTGTGGGTTAGAGGGGAGGTATGCTCACTGATGATGGCGTACAGCTCGCTCACGCGCAGATCATGCTTGACGGCATCGAGCGCGGCGATGTAGCTCTTTCGATCGCTCTGGAAGGGGATGTACGTTACCTGGAAGCCTTCTCGGCGCCAGGTCTGCAGGAATTCCTCGTCGAAGAGCTCGTCCTCGGCGGTGATGCATAGCTGCGCCGGTTGTACGGAGGTGGGAGACGCTTGCGCCATTGGGATAGAAAAGATATCCGGCTTGGAGTTGATATGAGGTATGCCAGGAAACGATTACATTGTGCAGTTCAACTGTACCTGGTAGATTGATAGAAGTGAGAGTCTTCTCGTGAAGCTATGGAGCTTGTGCTATGAGGTCATTCATCCCACGCATTGAGCTAGTGCATCTCATAACAAAGCGCGTAGCCGTATGATCCTTACATCCTCAAATGGTAGCGAATGAGCATCTCGGGTGGTCTCGTATTTATGGTTTCATGACTGTATGGTGGCGGATTGTGCGCCTGGCCTTAGTTCGCTTTTGACGAGCATGTATGTCGAGTTGAGCAGCAGGTTCGAAGGCAACATAACCTATCTCCCTGACGGATAAAACATGCACATTGGTCCTCGCTGTCATCGTTACTACATTAGCCGATACAATATCTCATGGCCAATGTCTGTGCTTCACTGTACTTGCACATGACATATAGGGGTTTGCCTGGACACGTTTGATATAATAGCGAGTACCAATCGAAATGCCTATGAGAAGGCACAGAACTTCAACAATCCATCTCAGCTTGACACTTAATAAAGGGCTCAATCATAGCACGTCTAAATCTAAGTATAGTTGCCCACCCAGTACGGGAAGATGTGCCGATGGCCGATCTTGCCATATTAAGTTAGACAGTTCGGACACCCGATCTGGAAAAGATCTCGGACACTATGCCTAACACGGAACGGGCGGAGCTATCCCGCTCTTGGTCTCCGACTCCAAACGACATCAAATAAATAAGTTGAGTCCGGTCAACACAAATCACAGATTTAAGTGCCTACAGCCAGCTGGTCTATATAGACCTCCCTCAAAAAGTCTCTTCTTCCAGACTCCCAGTTTCTTACTTCTCATCATTTCGAAAATCCCGTTGTTGTTCCTACATCGAAGGAATCAGCCCCGCAGCCATGGGTGAGGTGAAAAGCTATGAGCTGTCGGACATCGACAAAATGGGCTTCACCAAGACTGTGAAAATCGTCTTCTTCTATGAGCTACAAGCTACCGTCGACTCAGAGAACCTAATCTCCTCCTTGCTGGAAGGGATCAGAAACGCAACCCGTCAACTGCCCTTCCTGGCGGGAGACCTCCAGTTTAACGAAGCCGGCAAGCTCTGCAGCGTCACCACATCTGAAAGCCAAGTCGATGTCAACATCCGCCGATTCGAGCCCACAGAGTGCGAGCCTTTCTCTGTTTTATCCAAGGGCTCGTTCTCTCCAGAACTGGACCTGACCCGGTTTCTTCCGGAAGAGCCAGTCGGCAAACAGCCAGCCTGCAAAATACGAATCGGTGTCATCGACGGAGGCCTTACGCTGGGGCTGAGACTAAACCACGCATCTGGGGACTGGACATCCCTCGATACCTGCCTCGCTCTCATTAGCCAAAGCACCAAGGCACACCTTGAAGGCGAGGCGATGCCTACCTACACCCCGGACCTCAACAGAGCCGCGTTCAACACCCCAGCGCCCGACCCCGCCATCACCCGAGCAGACCAACTCGCCAAAGTCCCATTCTTCAGCGTGATCGAGAAGAGTCAATTCAAGATCAACCCACCCCCACCCTGCCGGGCAAACATCTACCGGATCTCCGAGCCCACCATTCAACAACTCAAAGCCGAATGCAACCCCCACCTCGACGGAGTCGCCTACATCACCTCCTACGACTGCATCTCCGCCCTAATCTGGACAGCCATCACCCGAGCCCGCCTCCACATCCACCCGGACAGATTCAACGCCCCAACTCGCTTCGTACACCCCATCGACGTTCGCACGCGCGACCCAGACCAAAAGACCTCGCCCCAGTACTTCGGCAACGCAGTTCTGGGCACCCTCGCCGGCCCGCAGCCCGCCAAGGACCTGATCGCATCCGCCGACGGCGCAACAGACGCCCCCGCCCGCAGCCTCGCCACAGCCGCAAGCCTCGTGCGCCGATCGATCTCGCGCATTGACGTCTCCTCCTTCGCCGCCATGACGGGCCTGCTGGCCTCTCTGACGCCGACGGAGACCCTCGCCCCCAACGCCGACTTTGGGGATATGGACCTGTTCATGAACACGTGGTACTCGGGCAGTGTGGAGAAGTACGATCTTGGGGCCGGGGTGGTGCCGGCGGCCGTGCGCGTGCAGGCGGGGATGCCCGGGGCGTGCGCGAGCATCTTGCCAAATTTCTCGCGCGGGGGGCCCCGGGTCTTTGATGTCTATGTGCAGGCGCCGGTGGAGGTGTACGAGGTTCTTGGCGGGGATGAGCAGTTTTCGAAGTATTTTGAGCTCGTGGCGTGAGGGGAGTTGAATCTGGGCTGTTGGATGGTCTTGAAATTGAATGTTGTTAGATTCTTGTGTTTCGGTTGTCTGCAATCCAGGCTGTGGATTGAGTATTCGTGCATGAAGGATAATTTTGGTAACAACCTTGGATTTGCTGAGAGCTTTATCTATGGCATACGGAACCATTGGTTGCGGAAGTTAGGGCTTCCCACCCGCTCAGCTAGTGAAGGTTTACTGCACTAGCTCCGGTCAGCATCGATATTTCTTCCAATGAGTGTAGGTGACTTCCTTTATCGTCTGAAAGATGCCTCAAACCACTTAGCTATAGTAGCCACACTACCTTAGCCTCAAATGAAGCGTTACCTTGGCTCGTCTCCAGAACTGCCGGAAATTCACTGCTCACAGATAGAGCACACAAAGGCGAAACTAGCGAACTATAGGTAGAGCCCTACAACTCCTCCAAGACAACGGGGAATCTGTGGAAACTCAATTGCTTCTATCCTACAAGCCTTTGTGAGCGACATGATGAACGACGGGCACAAAGATCAATACCGGTGACCATGCGGGCCAGGCCATTCTTCTTCCTACGAACAATGAGCAAGAGAAGGGACCTTACTCTTTTATTGGTTTGGTAAATTCTCCCTCGCATTGACATATAAAAGAGTCAGCTTTGATGCATTCGGCAATAGATCATCCAACCCACTCAGATTTGCCTTCAACAGACCTATCAAGACCTTGCTATCATGAAGTACATAGGTATGTGCAGCTCCCGAACCCCCGGGATGTCAACCCCCACCCCCATCCACGATGCCGCCGTGGTGTGCCTTATAGCGCTGGCGGAATTCTGGGGCCTGGGCGTCCTGGCTCCGGCGGACGCACTCGGCGACGACGCCTCCCGGGACGCATTCTACCTGGCCGAGGACGGACCGAATACGGTCGAAATTCTCGAGGAGGTGGTCGAGGAGTGCCAGGCGCTGGAGAGCATCCTGGCGGAGCGAAACAGCGTTCGAGACGAAGTCGGCAGCCTCCCGCCGGTGATGGCGCTGGGGTTTCTCTGCAAACTGGCCGACCTGGCCCAGGAGTGTCGGGATAAAGGACGCGCCTATGCGTCCGAAAGGCAAGTCGACACTGAGACCGCGTTCGACACCACGGCCAAGGATGCCTGGGCGCAGCTGAACGGCCGGTATCGCTGGTGGGGCCATGGCCCGCCGCGCGTTCTTCTGGGGAGTGACTTCATAGCGGTGCAGGAGCGGGTGGAACGCGCTCGCGCCTCACGGGGCACGACACTTGACAACAAAGAGATCGAAATCCTGCCCCCCTGGCTACACGAGGAACACTCCATCGCCTGGATGCAAGTCCTGCAGAAGGCAATGCGGGAACTAGCTGGCGAGGTGCTGCCCCTGATCCGGGGGATGGTGGCGGCGGTGCGACGGGTCTGGTTCCGCGAGGCCGATACGCAGTTCGATCCCCCGCGGCATCGCCAGTTCGACTACCAGTGTATGGCGTATGTCCTCAACCGCGGGCACGACTATGTGATTGAGAAGGGGCAGCCACCGCAGCGGCCAATCTCGCAGTCACTGCAGGCTAGGAACGAGCTGCTCCAGGACGTGCTGGTGCAACGACACTTGATCGTGAGTAATCTGGTGCGGCGCAACCGGATCCTGTACGCACAGGAGGGGCGCGGGCATGCCGTGTACTCGGCCGAGCAAATGCGGGCATTCACGGAGCACGGCGAGGCCTTGCCCGCGCCGCCCGCGGCCGGGTACCTGCGTGGGCTCTACGAGGACCGGCCCGATGAACTCTGCGTGGAGCAGATCTCGACACACGGTCTCACCTGTCCGGGCTGCCTGGAAGTCCAGCGTCCGGAGGTGGCCCGGTCGTTCGAGGCCTGGAACGCGCATATCGCGGAGGACCTGTGTCCGTACATCTGTCTCGATCCCAACTGCCGGGACCCCGTGTTCTCGAGCCCCTCGGCCGACGGTTGCGCCTGGAAAGAGCATATGCTCAACAAGCATTGCTCGAAGCTCTCGGCTTGTCCGTTCTGCAGCTGGCCTCCCAATCCCGAGGAGGTCGACCCGGAGCACCTGCTGGCGCATATCGCGATTGAGCTGCAGTTCTTCGCCTTGTTGGCGTTGCCTTGGGCGACGCGTGACCTGCAGAAGAAGAATGCGTTCAAGCAGTGGTATGACCTGCGATACCCCGGCGAGGCGGTGGACAGCCCGTATTACCCCGTAGAGTTGCTTCAGCTCCAGTACTTCTACGAAGATTGTTCTGACGGGGTCTACGAGGAGCTCAGCTCCGAGGCAGAGACAGAGTAACTCCGCTTGAAATTGCCTGTAATATGCTGTATTCCTGAATTTATTCCTTAGAGATATAGATCAAATTTATGTAAGCTGTTCATTATACTTGATAAGCCTCCCAAAGGAGAAAACAGAAAAAAAAGAACATGTGGTCTCAGCCAGGAGGAAAAAGCGTGGGGAAAAGGTCGAAGTCTTGCCGGAAATCATCTACGCTCGCCTAGACTCGGGCCTTGAAACCCAATTCCTCTTGCATCATCTTTCCCAGACCTGAAAGAAGCCAACAGATTGTGCCCTCAAGTACAAGTAGCGCTAACACTCTAGTATGCTGTCTACAGCATGCCCCTTCCGACCCGCATGACGTTACAGAGATCTTGCGGTTCACCTCTATGCGGGATTTGTATTTTGACCAGTGAGATGTCTGCGTTGTCAGGTTTTTGAGACCATTGCCGAGTGGGTCATGGCGATTTCTTGTCTGTTTGCTAAATATTTGCTTTTCCGAAAGTACGGAATTAGGTTACTCCCGTCGCTTAAACGGGCCGCCATGCATGCTGGAAACACGGCGACGGCTGGTCTATGCAAGAACGCTCCTGGCGCGTGTTGTTGCAAGATGTATTTACAGCCCTCCTTGGTTTCTCCCTTGCCAAGAGACTTGTTGAGCTAACTCTTTCCACAAAGTCATTGGAATAGATTGAAGTATAGTAGTAATGGTGACAATACCCGCCCAGGCTAGTTGCCGCGGAGCTATGCCCTAACCCAATGGCTCGCCCCGAGCAAAGGAAACGATGTAACACAGAAAACTGACGAAGTTGTGTTTAACCCGAACCCAAACCTAGAAGAGACCAAGATTACTCTGATTAGAAATATCACCAGAGCAAACACACCTGTATAGACACGTTGGGTTCATCCAAAGCGTGCAGAGTGGTCTCGTTCTGAAACACGGTCAATGCCGGCATCTAGCGCTTAGAGCGGCAAGAACGGATATTCCGTCCCCAACGGTTCATCTCGGTGCTCGTGCCCTACTGAGTAGTGCGTGTGCTTGAGTTCTAGGAAGTACATGATTTCCGAGGCTTCGGTGATGCGGCAAATCTGATTGGTAAGTACCCCCAGCAGGGTCTTTGCTGTGCGTCGGTTGCCTTTCCTTTGACTGCTCAGGGGCTGACGATCACCCGACCGGGTACTTTTGTCGGGGGTTTATCGCCAGGAACGACCGCCGGTGGTGCCGCAATAAGCCCTATTTCTATCCCTGCTGAGCAGTTAGGGGGTTCATCTTGGCGAGGAGAAAGTGATGTGTCGTAGGTTCTTTGGGAGTCTGGATCGGTTATAATAGGAGATCGAAGCTACCCTCATCCAACTTATGGTTTCAGTGTCGAAAGACTCAGATTGAGTGGCAGGAGGAATTTTCAAAATACATACACAAAGATGAGTAGCAAAGACCAAAAGGTAAGGTAAGCGAACCTGCAAAGAATTACTCAAATAAGCTAACGCAGACACCTTTGACGACGTCGAAGTCCCACGAAAAGACAACACCACAGCGCTTGACGGTAAATGATCAAAACGACCCCACCATGAGCACCAATCTACACCTAAATCGATCGTCAAAAGCTTCCGAGCAGCGCTCATTCTTTGATATGCACCGTCAGAACCAGGAGCTCAAGGCCATGCTATCGGAATGCAACACCACCCTACAACGGTGCATTGCAGAGCTCGATAAAAGCTTAGCCGAAAAGGAAAAGAAGCGACGGAAGTAACAAAGGCCGAATATGCTACCATTTTGTCACGATCCATCGAAGACGGATGCCGACGTTATTTTCATCCTCTACCTCCCCACATATGCCTCTCGGGTCAAAGCGAACCCCAACGTCGCATGGTCGCTTCTGTCTGGCATTGGAATGATACTACAGCCAGGATTCTCCAAGGAACTTACTTTATTGTACTGTACAATTGAAGTACAATGGTGGCACTACAGATTTGTGCTCTGTGTCTGCCTCCGGACCCACTTGGAATGACGAAAATGCTGTACTGAATCATTTGCTGATGTGTTATGTATCACATCCTTGTTTCTGAACTCTTCAATGAGCATAGGGTCCTACAATTCATACTACTCACACACAAATTCAGTGCTTCTAGGTCTGTCCATATTAAGGATATTCAAACACGTGTGACAGGATAAAGTGGATCGATGACCCTAAATGATGACCGATACTAGCCTCTTATCTCCGCCATCTCAACCAGCCATCGCTATCTCCGCATTCTCCGAAATATCGTCTAATCGCTGACCCGCCCAACCATTGCTAGGTTGTGCAACAGTAGTCGACCAAAAAAAGCACGCGAACTCAGCAGGCCTCTTCTCAATTTTAGAGCTCAAATCCCTGAGTGATGTTCCCCACTTACAAGGTAAACTGACGTCGATGGCCCCTCTTGCTTAGTTCAACCAGCCAATTCAACCCAGAAGAGCTTGGCACGACATACTATAAAGCCCACTCATCTAGCCAACAGATAGCTTAATCGTTTTTTTTCCACTGAGTTTTATCAGCAACAAGCCAACACCACAAGATGACCGACAAGACGAGCGACAACAACCCCCTCTTCCACCACCGCCAACTGGCGCCGGCGGCGGCCGTCCGCGTCTCACCCCTCTGCCTGGGGACGATGACCTTCGGCGGCCGCCAGCAGGGCCGGTACGGCGACTGCACGCGGGAAGACGCATTCGCCCTGCTGGACCACTTCTACGAGCAAGGCGGAAACTTCCTCGACACGGCCAGCGGGTACCAGGAGGGTGAGTCGGAGGTGCTGGTGGGGGAGTGGATGGCGGCGCGCCAGAACCGCGACCAGATTGTGCTGGCCACGAAATACACGGGGGCGTACATGACGCACCACCGGGACCGCATCCAGTCCAACTACGGCGGCAACAACGCCAAATCCATGAAGGTCAGCGTCGAGGCGTCCCTGCAGAAGCTGCAGACCTCGTATATCGACCTGCTGTACGTGCACTGGTAGGACTACACCACCTCGATCCCGGAGCTCATGCACGCCCTGAACGACCTCGTCGTCGCCGGCAAGGTCATCTACCTTGGCATCTCAGACACCCCCGCCTGGGTCGTCACCAAGGCGAACCAATACGCCCGCGACCACGGTCTCCGCCCCTTCGCCGTCTACCAGGGGATGTGGAACGCGGCGATGCGGGACTTTGAGCGCGAGATCATCCCCATGGCGCGGGAGGAGGGGATGGCGCTGTGCCCCTACGGGGTGCTCAACCAGGGCCGGTTCCAGACGCGCCAGGGGTTCCAGGAGCGGGACAAGCATAACCCGGGCCGCAAGTTCATCCCCACGTCCGAGCACGATAAGAAGGTCTCGGCCGTGCTGGAGGATATCAGCATCGCCAAAGGCGCCGAGATCGTCAGCGTGGCATTGGCCTATGTGATGCAGAAGGCGCCCTATGTGTTCCCCATCATCGGGGGCCGCAAGGTCGACCACCTCAAGGGTAGCGTGGCTGGGTTGGGCGTGGCACTCAGTGATGAGGATATTCAGAAGATTGAGAGTGCGTATCCGTTTGACTTCGGGTTCCCGCACACGTTCTTGAGTGGCTCGATGTTCGATAACTCGACGCCGAGGATGGCGGACAAGCCCGGGGATGTCTGGTTGACTAAGAATTTGGGCACGTTTGACTGGGTGGAACCGCCCAAGCCGATCAGGCCGTTTCAACAATAGATACTGGCCCGAGGTTCACGTGTCGGGGTTTGTCCTGTGCTCGTCCTGCGCGGTCGCGAGCTTCAACTTGACATACTGTATGAGATGACCAGGATCATAACGTAGTTCTATTAGCGAAATGGAGAAGTTGGCTCGGAAGCAAGTGCTGTAAAGGACAATGATACTTCCGTTCTTGCTGTGACTCATGAGCAATTAGGGTGTGTAAGTGACTAGGGCTAATGAGTCCGGTACTAGAAAGACACTAAATTCTCACCAAGACGCTAACCCTCACGCTATACTAATTCCTTTCCCCGCCTTCTCCTCCCGCACCGACCCTACCTTAAGTTACTCTCTTCAAGACCCTCGAGGGATCCTCGCGAGCGCTTGAGCTGTAGAATCATATGGTCAAAGTCTAACTCCCAGTGCATAGTCCCCGTCCCTGATCAAGACCAATGGACCAAGTCCTTGCCCTCCCCGAGCTCCTCGAGCCCATCCTACTGGCTCTCGATCTTCGAACCCTCCTGACCACAGCCCAGAGGGTCTGCACCCAATGGCGAAGCATAGTCCAAGGATCCTCCTCCTTGCAGGAAAGGCTATTCTTCAAGCCCCGAGCAATGACCAAGAGACACTATTCCCCAGAACCGATCTTCAACCCTCTCCTGACGACAGCCTTCCCCGCAATCTTCCACGCTGTCTCCCCACACCGCGGCGGGGAATTTAACATCGCCGATCTGGAACTCATCACGCACCCGGCCAAGCGAACAGCGTACCTGCGCCCCGAAGCGAGCTGGCGCACTATGCTCATCCAGCAGCCGCCCACATCCTCGTTCGGCATCGTGCAACAGAGTGGCGGGCAACTCGGGTATAGCGGCTCATATGAAATAATGGTATGCACGCTGCACACTTCCAAGACTCGGAAATGAAACACACTCCGTTCCCCCCATTAGATTGGCCGTCAAGGAAAACAACCAGGAAAACAAAAAGAGGGAATTTCACTGACAGTAGACCGTTTTGCAGAAGACGGAAGGTGGTTTACGCATGGAAGCACTGTTCGAAGTGCTATTCTTCCACCATGACATCGACGCATACAATTGCCCCGACGAGGTCATCTGGTGGGGCGAGGGTGCTGCGCCGAAGTTTGGAAGGTTGCTCGAGCTCTTTGCGGAGGGGGAGGAAGAGAAGGTGGAACAGCCCGGTGTGCTAGTGCATGTGAGCTTCTTTCCCACTTGTACGTCAACGGAATCTGAGCTGGAGGATGAGGATTATCGGGACGTGCTAAATGCGGTGCGGGCTGGGTACCAGGCGCTGGGGCTGGAGCCGAAGGTATTGGCGGGGCCCGAGTGGGAGAGGCAGACGTGGGAGTATTCCAGAACTTGGGACTGATTCGTTGGTGCTCAAGCGTACTGTACAGTACACAAGACAAGTGTTTTGGAAAACTGTTCTGAGGGGGGAGGGGTGGATTTCATTGCAGTAGAATATGGAAGTGTGGGCTGGAAAGAGGGATACTAGCTACTTAACATTGTCTAAAGACTCTTGCTTAAGGTTACATTACGATACCAATATCTCAAATAATTATGATTTCGATAGGGAATTGATTAATCGAAGTACCAAAGCTGAAACCTGTCGACAGCCTTATGCAATAGCGTTGCCGCTGTTGCAAGAGTTGCGACACTCTTTAGACTAAGCATGTCGACTGACGGGCAATACAAAGAGCTTGCAGAGGAAAGTACCTTTTGGATGCAAATGCGGCGACCGCGCAGACCATATACCTGCTCCCAACAGCGTCAATCGCCGCACTTGCGAGATTGGAATTCTTCTCTGCAAGCGTGACTAGACTCAGGCCATACGCTGCAGTAGACATCTGTGGAATCCGAGAGAATGAAGGAATTGGTTCCGCTCAAGGCTCGAATCGTGCTGTTCGAGTGCGATCATACTATCTAAACTGCTAGCATTCCGCTTGAGGGGGCAGTGAGTGGGGCTGCATTTGGCACATCACTGGACAAGCGGCGATGTGTTTGTATATGTTGAGTTTCTGTAACTCAAGTTTCCGCAAGGAGGCTGAGGCTTTGCTCCCTTCTTATCGTGCGTCAAAACGTGGTTTTGATTTCACTTCAAATGGAAAAGGAAAAGCTCAACAATCAAGCCCCTTAATCAACGTGGCTGGGGAGTTTTACCACAGCCGGGGGGCATGAAGACGGACACTAAAGCCCGGGGATGTTCTTCATCAGGGTCTAATCCTCTTCTCGTGACCTGAAGGTAATTTGGAAAGAAACTCCTGAGCCTGGAAGAGCATTGGGGCTCCACTGAACCATGACGACCATTGCAGATACAGCCACCCGTGTCGATAACGCATGTCAGAGGATCACACATATCTAATTGCCCCTTGAACGCTCGAGTGGCTAGAAAAAGGCGGGGAGAGGGCTCTCCGAAGCACAGTGCCACGGGGTACATATAGTCAGTTCCGCATAAAAAAACTTTGGGAGGCACGAGTTTAATTAGCTTCCTTGATAATTTGGTTGAGCGATAAAAGTACAATTTGATTGGCAAGATGGCCGAGTGGTTTAAGGCGTCAGATTTAAGTAATTGACCTCTGATCTTCGAAAGAAGGCGCGGGTTCGAACCCCGTTCTTGCCAAGACCCAAATAACATTTTTCTTTTCATACTTATCAGCCATCTTTTTGGCCTCGATTAGCCTTACATTTGTTACCCACCTCCAACCACAAAGAGATGAATCGAAGCCCGCATGGGACTTGAAGGTCTCTGTCAAGACAAGCCGGACCCTGTTGCCGGGACTTCTTTTTGATTAGGACTGGCTCATCCGACCGTTGGCGATATGGAATACTAAGCTAGGTGGACCAGAGGAGTGCCGTTGAGACGATAGGTGACATTATGGTCATACGACTAGCCTACTTAAAAGCACTTTACCGTCTCTCAACACTGAGAAGTTTGGGTCCTTGGCCGTGCCGAACACTTACCGGCGATTCCCGCATTGGCAAGCCCATATACATAAGGGAGATTCCCAGTGGACACAGTGACGAACTTGAAATTCTAACAAGCATTGATATCGCTAGGAGGTTCTGTCATGAGAGGATAACATAAGAAATGAAATGCAAGAAACCCAAGACGGCCAACTGGGTCCGTGACATAGAAGGGATGGAGTATTGTGAAGGTAGCAAAATCAACGTCTTAGAAAAGTAAACTAGCTAGGCTGAACATCGCAAGATTTGTCTTGAGAATCCTTCCCTACCTCAGACTCATCTTTCTTGTGGTACATCACCCAGCCCGCAACGGGTTGTAGAGAGTCCAAGCCCGTAGTCTCGTCACCAAAGGGCTCCTCCAGCGGCCGACCACTCGATTTGGCATCAATCCCGATCATCCCCGCCACCATCATCGTCTCATACTCCACCCCATTATCATTGACATGCAAAGGCACCGAGGAGTAACCCGGGGGCGTATCCGACGTGTTGATGTAAGGATACCGTACGCCGTCCAGCTCACACTTGATCGTCCCCTCATGCAAGCCCATGTCAGGGATCAACTGGCCCTGCGCATTCCAGAAGCAAAACGCCGTGATCCAACCCGACAGAAAGTCCTCACCACTCCCCGGAATGAACCGGTGCACGCACCGACCCCAGAACTCCCGCGCCGCGGGGCCCGTGGGATCGTCAAAGCAGGCCACGAACCGGGTCAGCACCGGACGGAGCAGCGCCGCGAACCGCGCCGGCTCATCCCCCAACGCGGGCAGCCGGTCCAGCTTCTCCACCAGCATCTCCCAGTCCCGCCGCTCGCCGAGCATGGTCACGCTGGGGATGCCGCAGAGCAGGAAGGCCGAGAAGCTGAAGTACTCCTGCATGCTCCCCATCAGCAGGATCGCTGCCACGACCCGGTCGTTCTCGGTGGTGGTGCTGAACTCGGGCATGACCCAGGCGCGCAGGTCCGGGTCCACCACGTTATCCTGGATCGCAGTCGACAGGGCGAGCGCAATCGCGCCGAAGTCGACCGTCTCCAGGGTCCCATTAGCGTACACCCTGAGTTCTTTGCGGCCCTCGTGGGTGACGAAGTGTGCGCGGAGCTTCTCGGCGTTCGCGTTGATGTAGAAGGAGACTTGGCTGAGGATCGCGAACCAGATGTCCTCGGGACGGACGGTGAAGTCGTGGTGGTGGCAGTAAGCGTAGAAGAGGGCATCGACGAAGCCGTTGCTTGCACCGGTGACGTGGTTGCTCTCTAAAGGGTGGGAGAAGCTACTGCGGATGATGCGCTGACTGCTGTTGTGTTCTTCGTAGCAGGACTGCTCAAAGAGCATGTCGTCGCTCGTTACGCGCTCTCTGTGCCATTGTCGGGTGCTGTGGTCTGCGGTGCGGATCGTGACGGGCATCTCGGGACTTAGCTGATAGAGTGATTGTGTGAGATGTATGATCTGAAGTGCTGGATGTAGGTGGGGATGTATGTTGAGGGAGAAATGGCCCAAGAGAGCTGAGATGTTAAGGGGTATAGATAAATACCTCAATGCGCTGGCTGATTTACTTGTGTTCAGCCAGCCACTGAAGGGCCCCTAATTTTGAACTGGCCATGGGAGCTCACCGCCTCAGCTGCCGCGTGTACAGTGACTCAGTGGAACTGCGCTCCACTAGAAGGCTGTGGATAAGGTGGTTCCTTGGGTAGATCTTTCCCAGATTGCCTGGTACCCACCACATGGGGCAATCCCCGTCTTGCCATTGAACTGAAGCATAACATCCCTCTTTGTTGTTCGTTGTCCTGCTTCTCATCCTCTCTTTTCCCCTTTTCTGCCTTTCTCCTCCTTCTTTCGCACATTTATCTTCAAAATGGGGGATTATGAAAAAGGTGGTCACAAGGTATACACAACACACTGGCCCTAAGCCACGGATACATTCGATGAGGTCATGTTCGCTGCTTGTCTATTCTTTCTTCATCCTGTAAGCGCTTGATTCCATAGAATGGAGTAGAAAGTATTAGAATTCTTCATTGGTCCCTGTGTGACCTACTTACCTCACCTGTTGCACCAAGTCTTGGTGCCCGGTTGCTGGATCTGGATTCTCTCGAATCCTGTGATGAGTTTGTCCGCAATTGGTCCCAAAATAAAACAGTAGAAGTAGGTGAAGGTGTTACTTGGGGTACAAAGCTCAGTTTAAGTAAGATTTCGAAATCTCAAGCCGAAGGGCTAGCATTAATATCCACGCGGTATACCCCGCACCACATTGCGGGGCAATCCTCACTCCGGATAGACTAACCCTCAATATTCGATCCCACCACTCATTATCAGTCCTCACAATATTCAAGCATCATCCGCTACATGCCACTGATCTCCGACTTTAAAGCCCGCCGGGAACGGATCGAAATACATGGCTGTCAAGATGAATTGTGTTTGGATGTTAGTATGAAGTGACAAGCGGCGAGGTACGCTTTATAGGATGGTTGTTGTTATTATGCCCAGATGAGGGCGGCGGCTGCACTAACCTGCTTTCCCGGACCTACAGTGCGGGGGTGAGCTAGGCATATCTACAGATAGCGTACATTAACTAAAGGTACAGTGTAGTACATCCCTATCCGAAAGACTCGAGCTCTTGTGGCCTCGGGCTTCTCCTTTGTCTTCTTGAAGCTGTCCGGGCGAAGTGTAGCCTGGCGGATTGATTGATTCGTGTAGTATACTCCATGCCAAGCACCAATTGCTCCCTTTGCCATACAATCCGACCGAGGGACGCTTCTGGAAGCCTGTTGCTGATAAGGGGGCACACATAACAAGGGCGAAAATATGTATCCAAGCACTCACTATAACTAACCACTCGCAGATTGTGTTCTGGGCTGGATGCTTGGCTGCCCTCAGTCTCCTTAAGGCTTCACGAGCTTCACGAGTCAGCGCGGGTTCAGGAGTACTTTTGTGACAACGGAACAAGAGCTTTGAACCCCTCAGTGAGAAGGTGGCAACCTCTGTAGTATCGGTGCATTATACATCAAGCTCAGTTGGCTATTCAATTATCGAGCAAGAGTTATCGAGCAAGAACAGAGAGAAATCACCTAGCCTCGGTTGCAGTCGCCATAAGGTTATTTGGAAGGGAGCATGGAGCGGGAATGGCCGTGGTGCCTGAATCCGCGAACCATGGCTCGGAGATCGAGCGCGTAAGGGCCAGATGAAAGCAACTGGAACTACCCAATCGTGTGGTTCATTCGCGGAAGTGATAAAGTACATGGGCAGTACATGGCAGTTTACCAACCTGTGGAATGCAGGATGCGACATGCTGTACTATGGCATTCATTACAGCTTGAACAGTCGACAAGTAGAATGGAGACGTATCGAACAGATCTGCGGCACAAAGCCTTTGCGATCATATTTGGAGTGGGTTTGGCATATATACAAGTGGATACGGCTCATCATCATTAATACATATGGACAATATATACAACAGTGCTTCCATTCAACGGAAACCGAGCATTTACAATGCCAAGAGCAGGGCTATGAAGGACACACCCACCACGAGAGATGCGAAGTCAGTGCGCAACGCAGGGGCCCAGCTCTCCTTATCGTCCGAGTCACTGTCACTGTCACTCCCACTGCCCTTGCCACTGCTCCCACTGCCGCTACCACTCTTTCCTGTCGCAGTTGCGGTCGCCGCGCTCGCAGTCTGCGTGTTCGGCGTCCCCGTCACCTGGGGCACAGCAGTGGCCCCCGTCCCGATCTCCAGGACATGGTCGGGTCCGGGATTGGTGTTGGTCTTGGCAAGGTGGATTTCGTTGTTGGCGAGGTCGTAGACGACGTAGGCGCTGCGCAGGAAGGTATCGCCCAGCAGATAGATGCCGCCGCTGGCGGTCTCGCTCTCCGGGGCGATGCCGAAGGCACAGTACCCGAAGCTGGCTTCCAGGAGCATGTCGCTCAGGGGGATGGAGAGGTTGAAGCCGGAGAAGGCGAAGACGATCTCGTAGTCGCTCTTCTTGGCGGTCTCGCACTTCAGGACGGCCAAGCCCTGGCTCTCGTAGTACTCGCCGCCCACGGCGTCGATGATGTCCAGGGCGGTGCCCGTGGGGAGGTAGGTCAGCGAGGTGCCGCTGTCCAGGACGCTGACGGCGGGGAAGGCGGTGTTGTTGACGCTGATCGATTTCCCGGCCTTGGTGACGTGCACGCCGCTCAGATTGACGGCCAGCTCCGAGTACTCGCCTTGTTCGGCCTGAATGGGCAAGGTGTGCAGGTTGCCGACGTACTTGGCCGTGTTGATCCCGCCGAACAGGATCGTGCCCTCGCCCGCGTTGATGTCGTCCAGCCACAGGCTGTATGCCGCGGATTTGATGTAGCCCTGGTTCACCAGGGCCTCCGGCAGATTCGCGTACCCCTCGTCGTTGCGGAGGTCGGCGTACTCGTTGCTGGCGTATCCGATGCCACATACGCCCTCTGTGGGTTTCGTGGTCAGTTGAATGGGAACAACAATAAAGAGGAAGAGGAGTCGGTCGGTCGCAGAGGGGCTACTCACGTTGGGTACTGCTCTCTTCAGCCAAACCAAACTGGACGTCGGTCAGGGTTACATTCCCGAAGGCGACGGTGTCGGTCACGTAGTCTCCGATAGCCCCGCTTCCGTCCACATACATGATGGCGAACTCGTCGTTGACGACCTTGAAAGTGGAGGAGGAGGATGAATCGAAGACGCCATATGGGTTGTCGGAACTCGAGTTCCCTGCGTTGACCCAGAGGTCGCTGCTGCCGGTGTCCAGAATCACTTCCACCGCCTGTGAGGGGGTGCCGAGGTTTAAAGTGATCGCATAGTACGTTTCCTGGAGACGTTGTTAGAAAATCAACATCACACCTGCCAGGATGGAGCTTACTTCGTTGTCGATCTCTGTCTCCGGCGCAGAGCGTTTGTGGCGAGCATGGGTCAAGCCCTGCCGCCGATGGATATCATATTGAACTGTAGCGGGCTGGGCGCGCTCGTGCAGAGTGAGAGCACCAGTTGACTGCGCTAGACAGACCAACGAAAGGATTAGAGTGTTCCTCATGATCGACTACTGGGTTGACTGGCAGGGTAGGTGATGGTGTCGATCGAGCTGGAGGGTGTAGAGGCACAGTACAGAGGATGCAGGGGGGTTTTGAAGGGTGCGCCTGCGCCTGGTTGATCGCTTAGACTTCCACCAACGGTCCCTGAACTGGCACGCTTGAGTCTTGGAGCCCCGCTAAGTATACCTAGTAACAAAACTAAGCCACAAGAGTGATAAAAGGCCTTGGCTATGGGGCTATGTAACCTTGCACTTGAACCCTTCGACCCTTTCTCGACGATTTGACTTTACAGAGTGGGACGATAAGGCGGAGGCTCTCGCTTGGCAGCCCACCAGATCCTCGGTCACTCGGTGAAGTTGGTGTTTAGACTTGAGAAACGCTGCAGACTCTAAGCCCTTTATGGAGGCTGCAAGCAGCGGCTAACATTAGCGAAGCCTAGTTAGCACAGTTGTTACTACCAGTTATTACCTAGTTTACTTAGTAAGTGGTTATGCGAGATGAGGTCAAGCATTTAGCGCCCTTTGACTCATTGCTGCCTGCCAAGTGGGGATCCACTTGAATTTCTTCCCCCTTTTTCTTTTCCCATGCAGTGCCCAGAAAATCCAAGAGTGGATGTGTTAAACGAGGCTGGACAACACAGCCGTGACGCGAGAGGACGTCACAGTCGAAAAGTCAACCGGGCCGGCTGCTGCCTTCTGTGCTGTGGAGACCTTCTCCCTGCGCCCGCCGCCCAGGGCCCCAGGTATATATGATCAACGTCGGGATCGAGAGAAACAAGAAAAAAACATCACGGCTGTGGCTTTTTCCTTTTCCCTGGTCGCCACCTGCTCGGAGTCTCGGAAAGCTAGCATCGATAGTCGTTGTTATCGCGGAGCTTCTATACCCGAATCGGGTAGAAAACTCTGACGGCATAGTGGGGTGTAAGCAGCGATGGGCCAATAGCATCGGGCTCTATCCGGCCGATAAAGTGGATTAATTAAGGGGAAATTGCAAAGTTGGCTAGTGCATGTGATTTTATTCTCAAAACCCTTCCCCAAGTGGGAAAGGAACGGGGGTCGTGGTTGATCGGTTTCGATGCAGGGACCTTCACGATCGACGCACATTGTGACAGCCAAGCAAGTCTGGCGGCGATATCCGCGGAGGCACTTCGGACTCCGATCCCTTTTTGCCTTAGGACGAACTGGAGTTCTTGGTGTTCGCCCGAGCGGTGACTGTTGCGCGGCCAACATGGAAAGATAAAGATGTAGGTATCGACCGTCGAATCTGGTAGTCTTGCTGGGCTGATAATCTCACGCCGTTTGACGTGCATGCCGGTGACCTTGTAAGCATATAATACTGCATGCGGCCGGTGATATTTGTGAACACAGTTTCCATAAGCT